ATATATATATATATATATATATATATATATATATATATACAAACAATTTTTAGTTAATAAACATTAGCTTCGGAGTGGCGATTACAAGATACCTGCGAAGCGAATATCTCTTCGCATATCGTTCACGTTACTTCGTTCGCTAACGTAACGGTTGTCATATTACTTAACAGTTCGTAGCTAAGTAATGCAGCGACTAGTTTTCCACATAATTGTAATGATTACCATAATTATGATACTTGGCATGATATACGAACCCTCATGTAATTATGCAGTCTATACATATGAGGCGGGCTTTTCACAGGATGCAAAGTGATGGCACGATGAACCTCCTTCTTCTTGAGATTTCCGGTGAACGCCTGGGCCCCGCTGCTGTTGTGATAAAGGATCGACTGCATCTGTGCGGCATCATCACGAGTATACTATGAGCATTGTCAACTTTGAGAGCCGATGAGGCGATGATAAATACGGTCGAACCGTTTGACAGCTATCACACGATACATGCTAATTTATTTTATTCTACTTCTATTTTTATATCTTTTCCTTCGTGCGTTTTTTATATTCTTCTTTAATTTAACGAATAATAATATCTTATTTAATAATTATTAAAAAACAGGGCTATTGACGTTATTCTTGAAAAATCAGTCATCAGCATATTATCTTAATTATTCCAATTGTGAGACCTTCAATATTGAGACCTAAATAAATCTTAATTACGAGTTCAACACATAATTGAGGAGATTTCCAAGTATAATGTAATTAACAGTAGCAGATAAAGATCCTATTCAACCAAACGTGATTAACTTAATCGACGATTGATTTATTCGGCAAAATTGCTTAAAGCAAACAATCTAATTAGTTCCTAATTTAATCTTTTGGCATCGTACAATAAAAATTAACAATTCTATTTACGCTAATAAAGTAGTACACATATTATTTGACAAGTTAGTTGTCCAATTAGACAGATTTAATTAGAGTTTTGGTCAAATTCTCTCAAAGTCTTTTGTATTGAAATTTGACAAATTAATATCCGCGTCTCTCCCGCTCGACGCGGATGCGCGTCTCGTTTGTGGCCGGAACCAATTTAAAAAACAACTGGAATTAGATCCGAAGAGCGGATCGCGCGCTCGCACTTAATCACACGTGACAATGGTATCGCGTCTGTCGATTCCGCGTGCGCCCCGGTATATTAATCCGTCCCGAATGTCTGAATGCGCGTACAAGCGGAGCCTCGTAAATGGCAATTAGCGCACGGAGAGAAGCGGAGTTTAAAGTACGAACTTCCTGCCTCTGCGCGCACTACGACCTATAATAATTACTATTAAGAACGTCCTATTCGAAGCGCCTGGACGAGCCGAAACGCTAAACTCGCGGCGCGAGTGTTAACAATGACGCCGGGTGTGGTGGTTTCTTGTTTCGCAGAATTTTTTTACGTTGACGTTTCCTCGAACAAACTCGATGGCGAGCGTCTCGAAAAGTCGTCTATTCCAACAGTTACATTAAAATTGCGACTTGAATCCAAATCCGAAAAGTTAAAAGTTTTCGAAATATTCTTCAGATATACTTTTATCTTTATTTATTTATTTTTTTTTTCCTAAGAACTATATATATATATATATATATATATATATATATATATATATATATATATATATATATATATAAAGG